GACGGCCAGAGTGTTTAAGATCACTAATTGATCCAGTCTCCCTAAATTTTTTAATTAATCTCTTCACAGTTGATGAAGTTAAATTACTATTCCGACCATATTTTGTACGAAAATTGCGAACTGTAGCTGCCAAACCTTCATTATTTTTAAAATATTGCTCAACAATGAAAATGCGTTGTTCTTTTGTGTAGCGCTCCATTTTTAATAACCCTGAACTGTCAGCTGTCACGCTATCTTTTTTTCCCGTTGGCAACACTTTACGGCGCAAATGGCGTAAAATTCAAATCTTGCCTGAATTTTGGGACACCCTTTATTATCCTAAGTGAGAAACTTTAGATATATTCCCTTAAAAAAAGAAAAAAGAAATTAGATAATGACCATGAAGATTGATAATGACAAAGAACCAAAAGTTCTAATCAATGTTATAATAAATTTAAAACTAACATGTAAACAATTAAAGCTAATAAAGAACTCAACAAAGTTTCTGGATCTGAGATTAACCATGTATGAATAGTTATTAATTTATTTATATAGCACTTATTATTTGCTACATACTATTCTAGAAACTGCTTAAATGTTAACTTGTTTTAAAATCTCCTACAAACCCTATTAACCCCTTTCGGTCCAACGTCGAGGCTGACTCGACAGACCAGGCGCTAGGAGCAGGTCCAACATCAAGGCTGAGGTCGACACCGCAAACCGGTTCAACATTCAATCCTGTCAATTAATTTGGACCAGACTGTTTGAATTCCAAAAATAAAATTGGACTGCAAAGGGTTAAGATAGGTACTTTTATTGTCCCCACTTACACAAGACTTAAGCTACTTGGCCAAGGTCAAACATCTACTGATAGTCAGAATTTGAGCCCAGGGCACACTTAATTTCTATACCAGTAATACTAACTAGAAAATGCATCACAGAAATACCTTTCACAAGGTAAATTACAAGGTCAAAAAAATATGAATTCAGTCACATCAAAATTAATTATTTCTTGACTGAACTAAAGACATCAAGAACAAAGTTTACAAATCAACAATAAGAAGTAGCAACTTCAGTAAAGAAATGGGCAAAGGAAAAAAATATCCCATTTACAGAAGGGAAAAGCCACAAGTTATTAGCCATATGAGTGAAGGGATACCACTTTATTCCATTAGTTTGGCAAAAAATTAGAAAGCTGGACAATGTCAGTGAGGAGACTAAAGGAACCCCCTTTAGAAACCAACAATTATAGACTGGGAGAACCTTTCTGAAGAGCAATTGGCAGCACTACTTAGCTAAACTATTTACACACCTCATGATCTAGCAATTCTACTCTTGGGTAAATAAAGCAAAGAAATTCTCTTAAGACCAACATGCATTCTGATGCTTCATCTTTGATGGTAAAGAATTAGAAGCATTCTCGGTTTCCATCACTGGAGGAGTGGCTAGGTAAAATGTGATGAAAACACATCAGAAGTATACATTGCAAATGGTTGGACTAAAAACATAGCTCTAAATGGAAAAAGCAAAACCCAAAATAGTAAATCCCATTTATGCCATTCTGTAGGAGTGATTTCAAAAATGAGTCAGTAAGTATCTCCAGTTTCAAATACACACTGAGTTGTAGTAATAAGGTTATATACTATGGCTTCATGTCAGTATCAGTCCTCTAAAAAAATATTTCTTTGGCTTCTATACATTCTATTTATCTAATTCAGTTCCCAACAATGCCTGGTACATATTAGGGACTTAGCAATCTTTTTGAAAAAATTAATGAGGGAATGAGGAAGGGCTGCTGTAACTATATGTACAAATACGTTCTATTTTTATTTGAGGGAGCCAAAAATTCCCAAATTATACTTAACTGACTTGTTAATATGTTGGACAAAAACACATTAAAGTTTTTTAAAGCCAGATCAACAAAGATGATGCTACTAAAGCAATATAAAGGGAACTGTTTATAACTTCATCTTTAAGAGAAACAATGCAAACAGTTTCAAGTTTACAATATTATTACCTAGTTCAATCTGAAAAAGAAAAATTCAAAACATACCATAAGTCTTTATTTTATTGAGACAGGAGAAGCTGTTGGCTTTTAATTCTTCTGTCCTCTTATATTTTTATTATTTTCCTTCCATCTTGCAAATTCCATCTGCAAGATCATTGAGTACATTTCAGTTAATTGTATTACTCAAAACATGCTGTAAAAGGCTCACTCAAGTAGAAATAAGACAAAGTCTCTTTGCAGGCATATGTAAATTCTAGAATGAACCCATTACTGTTTTTTTCTTTATATCCCATGTGCAGAGTTTTCCCATATCAAAACTGAATTACCACACCTATTCTATATATGCTCATGTATAATTTACCTTTAAAGAATGGGTTTTCTGTAATTTCAGAACTAAACAGCCTTACCATACAAATTCTTTAGTTTTGTTATTTCTTCAACTAAGTTTCCCAAGGACAGGAAAAGATTTATTCCCAAAGTTGCTATTATTTGTTCTTTCCCCCCATAGCACTAAAAGTAAAATTCAAGAAATAGGTTAAGCTTCAAGACAATGAAACTATGGTGTTTAAATTGTGATGTAGCTTTTTTTTTTTGTTTACCAGCTTATTCAAGTATAATTAACAAATTAGATATTTTAACATGATGTAATATTTTGATATATGTACTCACTACAATTACCTCAATCAAACTAATTAACATTATCACCTCAGTTACCATTTTTTGTGGGTGGTGAGAACACTTGAGATCTACACTTTTCAAGTTTCAAGTATACATACTAATTACTAACTATAGTTACCACGCTGTACATTAAATCTCCAGAACTTACTCATCACTGAAAGTCTATACCCTTTGACCAGGATCTCCATATTCCCTCCACCTTCCAGCTACTGGTAACTTCCATTCTACTGTTAAAGAGTTTGAATTTTTTAGATTCCACATATAGAAGGATAATACAGTATTTGTCTTTCTATATCTGCATTATTTCATTTAGCAGAATGTACTCTCGATTGATCCATGTTGTTGCAAATTGCAGGATTTCCTTCTTTTTAAAAGACTGCATATTCCATTGTCTGCATCTCACATCTTTATCCATTCATCCATTGATGGACACTTAGGCTGTTTCCACATATTAGCTACTGTGAATAATGCTGCAGTAAATGTGGGAGTGCAAATACATCTTTGAGATAGTGATTTTATTTCCTTTGAACATATATACCCAGAAGTGAGATTGCTGGGTCACATGGTTGTTCTATTTTTAACTGAGGTGATAATGTTAATTAGTTTGATTGTGGTAATTGTAGCGAGTACATATATCAAAATATCACATCATGTTAAAATATCTAATTTGCCAATTATACTTGAATAAAGCTGGTAAACAACAAAAAAATGCTACATCACAATTTAAACACCATAGTTTCATTGTCTTGAAGTTTAACCTATTTCATACTGTTTTCTAAAACGGCTGTACCAATTTACATTCCCACCAACAGGTATAAGGTTTCCTTTTTCCCACATCCTTGCCAACATAGTTTTCTTTTGACTTTTTGATAATAGCCATCATAACAGGTGCCATGTGTTATCCTATTGTAGTTTTGACTTGCATTTCCCTGATAGTTAGTGATGCTGAGCACCTTTCATATACCTGTTGGCCATTAATATGTCTTCTTTGGGAAAATGTCTATTCAGATCTTTTGCTCCCATCTTTAATTTTTTTTTTGATATTGAGTTGTATGAGTTCCTTATATATTTTGGATATTAATCCCCTTTGGAATAAATGGTTTGCAAATATTTTGTCCCACTGCAAAGGTTACCTTTTCATTTTGCAGTCTATTATCTTTTAAAAACTTTTCTAGATTATAATGTTACAAAAGTACTGAAAATGTTATTAATCCTAAAAAAAAAAAAAAAAAGAATTAAAATATAGTTAGGCTGACCTCTGGTGGCCAGATGCCTCATCCTTTGGTAACTGACAAAACTGTATGAAGCTGCCCCTGGCTAGTTTGGCTCAGTGGATAAGTGTACACCTGTGGACTGAATGGTCCCTCAGACTGAATGGTCCCAGGTTCAATTCTGGTCAAGGGCAAGTACCTTGGTTGCGGGCTTGATCCCAGCCCTGGTTGGGAGACAGACAAAAAATGTGTCTCTCTCACATTGATGTTTCTGTCACTCCTCCTCCCTCCCACTTTTAAAAATCAATGGAAAAATATTCTCGGGTGAGGATTAACAACAAATGAAGTCATTTCTCATTTGTGGCAAGACAGCCAACTAAAATACAGTAAAGGAAATAATATTGTTAGAAACTTCAAACCAAGCAACGAAGGTAGCAGGCACCCAAAGCATAAAGAGAGCTGAGCAAGTAAAGGCCATACAATAAGAAAATGCCTCCAAATATTAGTTTGTTCTAGTAAGTTTACTAGTTGATTGACTTTACATAAAAAACAAATGGAATATATAGAGGTTCTCAAAGTAAGAATAGTTCTGTACTATCCGATACTAGATTCACTCGCTCTAGGTATCTACTGAGCACCTGAAATGTGGTTAGTGTAAAATAATGCCCAATTTCAAAGACTTAGCAGGAAAAAATGTAAATTATCTCATTAATTATTTATGTTGACAACATGTTGTGGGTCTATTTGGTTAAGGAATGAATACCCTTTCTAGGCTTCTTTCACCACAACTTTCTGGGCAGTCTACATTTAAGCTATAGTGAGTTTATAAATGTTATCAGTATCCATGCATTCTTAGGCCTCCACATGTTTCCTCTAACTTATTAAGTAAAAATGCTTTTTCAGAAATTAGACATCTTGATAATTTTGAAATTATGGGCAACTCAATGCTTTCACATTCATTACTTTGAATACCTAAAACAGAGGTCCTCAAACTTTTTAAACAGGGGGCCAGTTCACTGTCCCTCAGACATTCCACACATGCGCACTGCGGGCCTGGGACGAGTTGGCTGCTAAGCAGGACAGGCAGCGGCAGCAAAAACACCCGGCGGGCCGGATAAATGTTTTCGGCGGGCCGCATGTGGCCTGCGGGCCGTAATTTGAGGACCCCTGACTTAAAATGTTTAAGGAATTAGGAATATGAAGAGAATGAATTAATAAATTATAGCATATTCATATAACAGAATACTATAGCAACCTGTGCCTCAGTTTCCTCATCTTAAAAGAAGATAAAAGTTACTTCACAGGGGTTGTTTGTAAAGATTAAATGAAATAGAAACCAAGATGGCGGCATAGGTAAACACCGGAAATTGCTGCCTCACACAACCACTTCAAAAATACAACTAAAAGACAAAACGGACATCATCCAGAGCCACAGGAAGGCTGGCTGAGTGGAAATTCTACAACTAGAAAGAAAGAGAAAAGCACACTGAGACTCAGAGGAGGTGCAGAAGTAAAGTGCAGAGGTA